CAAAGAGAGAAAGGAAGAGCATGATCTTGATCTGGAAACCAAGATGCCTAAATGCATGGCAAATGCCTCCTTTTATAGGCCAAAATTGGGAACTATTGATTTGATGACTAATTGATAAGTGGGTGGCCAACTTTTGACTTGGTGACAATCCTTATCTTCTCTTGTCTGCCCAAAACGTCATTGATAACGTCAAACCTGGAGCCAGGTGCAAACATAAAAGTTGTAGGAAATTGTCTCAGCTATCTTGTGTAAAAACTTCAGCTCATTTGGACTTCTAGAACTCCAGATATGGCCAAAATACCGAACAGTGCTCGGGCTGGAAGACAGATTCGGGCTTCTTTGTTGTTGCTACAATTTCGACTTGATAGTGGCCTTTTTAGATCTTGGGCTCCATATGAAAGTTGTAGGCCTATGTCTTACCTTTCCATCCATATAAATTGGACCTAAATCTGAGATCTATAGCTCCAGATATGACCCAATTACCGAACAGTGTTCCGGTTTGGATTGCACCGACATCTCTTCTCTAAGTTTGACCGTCTCTTTATCCTTGCAATTTAAGTTCTTCAAGTCATCAATCAATATTTTCATTTATGTGATAGGCCTGCATTAAAAATAGACATTTACCACAAATTATAGGTATCTTATATTATTAGATACATTATTATAAAACATGCTTTGGTTAAGGAGTTATTGATACTTCAAGTGCAAAATGATGATATAAAACCATGATAAAAATGCACTTTTAAGTACTAATCACTTTGGAAATTCGGCAATCGGACCCCTATTCACTAATAATCAATTTCTAATTGTATCCTTGGATGAATTCAATTGAATCCTTGATTTATAGTGCCATTTACACAACAGTCCTGGGTTTTTTGACTATTCAATTTGATCCTTGGACTTTAATTTTCTAGCATTTTTTTTAAATGAGCTCCAAACTTTGGTATTTCTTCAATTACACCCCTGATTCCTTTAATTAATTAAATTAAAGTTTAATTAAGTTCTCAAACTCATTAATTCCTCAATTTCTTTTAATTTGATTAATTAACTTAATCCCAAACTCAATTAATTCTCAAAATTTATTAATTTTCCAATTAAACTCTTGATTTAATTAATTAAACTAGTTAAGAGTTTAATTAAATATTTAAACTTTCCAATCATGTTGCCATTAACCCAAATTTTAATTCATTCTTCATTTATTTTTTTTTAATCATTTTTCATCAATTTTTTAGTAAATAAAAAAAAATAAAAAATTAGGTTATGACAGTTGCCCCCTCTTTATAATATTTACTATGCAATGATATTAGAAAATTTCATTTTCTTTTAGCTTTGTGTAGTAAATTTATAAAGAAAATTAGAAAGAACTTTTGCTTTTTTTTTTTAATTTTGAAAACCTTGAAAACAGTAGATTGACACATGACTTTTATACAGAGATATAGAAATCCAAAAACAAATCATTTGGGAGATGACCCATTTTTTTTGTTTTTGTTTTTTTGTTTCTTTTTTGGAATAGATCAAATGGTTTTGGGCAACCTGCCCAATGATAAAAGAAATGCGAAGAATTTCGCAAGTGGTCTAATTGTTCCAAGCGACCTACCCGATGAAGAATAAAAATACAAGAATTTTTTTTTTGATGGTATATTGTAATGGGTTACCTGCCCAATGTAAAGGTGGTATATTGTAATGGGTTACCGGCCCAGATAGGATGGTATATTGTGATGGGTTACCGACCCAGATGGTCACATTGTAATGGGTCACCTGCCCAGACGGTGTATTGTAATGGGTCACCTGCCCAGATGGTCACATTGTAATGGGTCACCTGCCCAGTTGGTATATTGTAATGGGTTACCGACCCAGATGGTCACATTGTAATGGGTCACCTGCCCAGATGGTCACATTGTAATGGGTCACCTGCCCAGTTGGTATATTGTAATGGGTTACCGACCCAGATGGTATATTGTAATGGGTTACCTACCTAGATGGTCACATTGTAATGGGTCACCTGCCCAGATGGTATATTGTAATGGGTTACCTACCCAGATGGGCACATTGTAATGGGTCACCTGCCCAGCTGGTATATTGTAATGGGTTACCGCCCCAGATGGTCACATTGTAATGGGTCACCTGCCCAGTTGGTATATTGTAATGGGTTACCTACCCAGATGGTCACATTGTAATGGGTCACCTGCCCAGATGGTATATTGTAATGGGTTACCGACCCAGATGGTCACATTGTAATGGGTCACCTGCCCAGATGGTATATTGTAATGGGTTACCTACCCACATGGTCACATCGTAATGGGTCACCTGCCCAGATGGTATATTGTAATGGGTTACCGCCCCAGATGGTCACATTGTAATGGGTCACCTGCCCAGTTGGTATATTGTAATGGGTTACCTACCCACATGGTCACATTGTAATGGGTCACCTGCCCAGTTGTAATGGGTATATTGTAATGGGTTACCTACCCAGATGGTATATTGTAATGGGTTACCGACCCAAATGGTATATTAGGATTTTTTATAAGACATGATAGGGTTCGAAGGCGCATTGTTCAATAGATGGAAGCTTGGAGGAAATGAGGGCTCGAAGGCACACTTGAAATAAGGTAGGATAGGAAATGCACTATCTTTGATGGTCGAGGGCTCGAAGGCACACTCGAATGGAGGTAGGATAGGAAATGCACTACCTTTGATGGTCGAGGGCTCGAAGACGCTTTCGAAAAGAAATAAGACAAGCGCTTGAAGGCACACTCGAATGGAGGTAGGATAGGAAATGCACTACCTTTGATGGTCGAGGGCTCGAAGACGCTTTCGAAAAGAAATAAGACAAGCGCTTGAAGGCACACTCGAATGGAGGTAGGATAGGAAATGCACTACCTTTGATGGTCGAGGGCTCGAAGACGCTTTCGAAAAGAAATAAGACAAGCGCTTGAAGGCACACTCGAATGGAGGTAGGATAGGAAATGCACTACCTTTGATGGTCGAGGGCTCGAAGGCACGCTCAAATGGAGGTAGGATAGGAAATGCACTACCTTTAATGGTCGAGGGCTCAAAGGCGCACTTGAATGGATTTCATTAGAATTTTCTCTAATAAAAATTTACAAAACTCATTGTCCAAGGTCTCAAAGTTTAAATGATATGCATGCATATTTACCTGATTTGAAATATAGGCCCCCATTTCTTCTTAATCTTCTCGTTGCTTGGTTGGTGAGATCTTGTTATCTGATTTGAGTCATCTTTATCGTTTAGCTTTCTAGCCCACTCGAGTTGGCTCATATAAGTCTATTTCCAAATTTATTTGTATAACTCAGCATTTTTAGTGCCCATCGTGACCCACTTGCTTGCTAAAGATTTTCTGATTCGTCAAATAATTTAAGAGGATTATTCATTACTCCTCGTTTCACTGCTAGAAACATTCGGTGTCACTTGCTGAAAGGATCGAGTTGTCTTTTGTAAACCAAAATGCCCCCTTGTCTGGTTAAAGGAAATTACCATCTCCTTTTCTAGAATTTTTCCTTTTAAACACAATGTTGCCCCCTTGTATTGGTTATTGCCTCTAAGTGTGCTCTCTTAGTGATTTGGATAAATAATGGTTCTAAGAGGTCATTCTCTCATATCTATCCTTTTTCTGTTTGGTGAAGGAATATGGGTCTAGAATGAATCTTGAAATCTTGATCTTGCATTTTGAAAACAAAACATTATTTCGATGTGAGTCTAAAACAATTTGCTTTTGAAATCTTGCAACTCCTTGGTTATTTTTCTTTCTTGGAAAAGAGATTATTTGTTCTTGTGTTTGGCAATGAGGTCTTCGGTGAAAATATGCCATGATATTATGAACTTTTGTTTTTATAGGTTTTCAGAGTGGTGGGCTCGAGAAAAAGCTCGAGGTTTTGTATGAGAAGAACTTGTCTTTTTTTTTGCACATTTATTTTTTTATCAGCATGAATAATAATGAGTAGTTTATTCTTGATGTCATGAATCTTATGAAAAAGTATTCTTTGCATTTTGAGAGCATTGTTTATTGTTCTAGGTTGCTTGCTTGCTTGATTAGAAAGGACTTCTATAGGCACGTAACGTAGGTTGTGGTTTTTGGCTATGAAAGAAAATGATTCATAAGGCTCAGAGAGTGTTTCAGGGCTTCAAAGACTGAGGATCACTATTAACAGTTTGACTATTGATGTCATTCATATTTTCTTTTGCCGCTCTTCTTTGATTTGCTGTTTTCTTTTTCTTTTTCATTGCTTTGCTATAGAGCATACTCACTTTATCTTGGTTATCACTTTTTCTTGTGATTTGGGCATGCCCCCTAGCATTTGAGTTTCTTGAGCTTTTTTTCTTTTTCTTTTTTGACTTTCGGCTTTCTCACAGCATTATCCTCTTTCTTGATAATTGAAATTTCACTTGCCCCCAGTGTGGGGTGTGATCCTAGTCAAGATTTTTTTATGAAAGAAAAAATTATTCAGGCTCAAAAAGGGTTTGCAAGGGATGTACTTATTTTAGAACGTGAAAGGAAATAACAAAGATGGCCTTTCCTCATTTCAAGCGCAAGCAGCTATGATCAATAAACTTTGACCTCGTATAGTATGATGGTTTATTCTTTGCAAAGATATATTTCATAAGTTATGAGCAACAAGTTCACTACATACCATTATTCATACATTTAAAAAAACATATGATTCAAGAGTAATGGGGTAAAGGTGTTTATTCATTTCCTTTTTTTTAATATTAGTCACCTTAATAATGGAGTTGCTTGATTCATTTGTCATTCTACAAGTAGAATGTCAAAAATATTATTTTTGGATAAACATCAAATTACTTTTGAAATCAAAATGCCAGATTAATTTTTCAAAACTCTAATAGGGAAACTGATTTTGGTAAGAATGATGAATTGAATCTATGAGATCATGCAAGGCTTCAAGGTTGTATTTACTGATTCTTTGATAAACACTTATAAGAGAGAGCAAAGACATGCAAAGTGAATTTATTGGCAAAACTTTTATTGATTGGATGAGAACTTATACAATCATGGATAATATTTCTTCACAGAATCGGAATTCACTGGCCTACTCAACTCTTCTCCATCCATTCCTGTCAGTATCAATGCTCCTCCAGAGAATGCCTTTTTTACTACATAAGGACCTTCATAATTGGGTGCCCACTTGCTATGATTTTCATTAGGTAGTAATAGGATTTTTCTCAATACAAGATCTCCTGCTTCAAACTCTCTTGGTCGAACTTTTCTGTCATATGCTCTTGCTATCCTTTTTTGATATAATTGGTGGTGACAGATTGCAGCTAATCTCTTTTCACTGATCATATTTAGCTGTTCATATCGTATTCTTGCCCATTTAGCCTCTTCTAGCTCAGATTCCATGAGGACCCTTAAAGAAAGAATCTCTACTTCCAAAGGCATCACTGCCTCCATTCCGTAAACTAATGAATAAGGTGTAGCCCCAGTGGACGTTCTTATTGCTGTTCGATATGCATGTAAAGCATAAGGAAGCCATTCTTGCCAATCTTTATATGTAACCACCATTTTCTGGACAATCTTCTTTATGTTCTTGTTAGCTGCTTCAACAGCACCATTCATCTTTGGTCGGTAAGGGGATGAATTGGAATGCTTGATTTTCCATTTAGTGCATAATTCCACGATCATCTTCCCATTAAAGTTCTTGGCGTTATCGGTTACTATCCTTTCTGGCAAACCATACCTACAAATTAGGTCTCTCTCAATGAAACGCTTGACCACTTTCTGCGTCACATGAGCATATGAACAGGCCTCTACCCACTTTGTAAAATAATCAATTGCGACCAAGATAAATCGATGACCATTGCTAGCTTTTGGATTAATAGGCCCAATCACATCTATCCCCCACATTGCAAATGGCCAAGGTGACACCATATTGAATAAGGGCAATGGAGGCGCATTGATTTTGTCACTATACACCTGACATTTATGACATCTTCGGACAAATTCTATACAATCCTTCTCCATAGTCATCCAAAAATACCCTGCTTTTTGCATTTTTCTCGCCATCATGTGTCCATTTGCATGGGTGGTGCAAATTCCTCCGTGTACTTCATACAAAGCTTTATTGGCTTCTGATCTGTCTAGGCATCTTAATAAAGTCCCATCAAATGCCCTTTTGTATAAGATTTCTCCATCTAGAAAGTATTCCATGGCCATTCTTCTCAACGTCTTCTTATCTGTCTTTGAAGCTTCAGAAGGATATTCTCGATATTGGATGAATCTTTTTATATCTGCATACCAAGGATTGCCATCAATTTCTTCTTCTATTAAATAACAATGAGCAGGAGAACTTCTGATATCAATGCCTATAGGATGTACTCTGATACCACAATCGATTGTGGCCATAGAGGCCAGGGTTGCTAAAGCATCCGCAAACTGATTCTTATCCCTTCCTAAATGATTGAACTCTATCTCTTCAAACTTTTCAGCCAACTTGGAGAGATATTCTTGATATGGTTTCAATTTCTCATCTTTTGTCTTCCATTCCCCCTTTGTCTGGCAGATTATCAACATGGAGTCTCCATATACCTCTAGTTTTTGTATCTTTAGTTCCAATGCAGCTTCTAATCCATGAATACAAGCCTCATATTCAGCTGTGTTGTTTGTGCAACTAAATTGCAGTTTAATGGAGATGGGATATTGTTTCCCTTCTGGAGAAATTATTACAGCACCAGCTCCATTACCAGACACATTCACTGCACCATCAAAGTACATGGTCCACCAATCACTTTCTATTACTAACACATCTTCATCAGGGAAGTCAAAATTTAATGGCTCATAGTCTTCAAGGGCATTATCAGCTAAATGGTCTGCGATTGCACTTCCTTTCACGGATTTTCTTGTTTTGTAGATGATATCATATTCAGCCAACAACACTTGCCATCTGGCTAGCCTATTTGACATGTACGGTTTTTCAAAAATATATTTCAGAGGATCTATCTTTGAAATTAACCAAGTGGTATAATATAGCATATACTGCCGGAGTCTTTTCGCACTCCATACCAAAGCACAACACAACTTCTCAACCATACTGTAACGAGATTCACACTCAGTGAACTTTTTACTAAGGTAGTAGATGGCTTGTTCTTTTCTTCCGGTCTCATCATGTTGGCCAAGCACACAACCCATTGCTGATTCAGTCACTGTTAAATATAAAATGAGAGGCTTTCCAGGCATAGGTGGTACCAATAGAGGTGGGTTTTGCAGATATTGTTTTATCTTATCAAATGCTTTTTGACAGTCTTCATCCCATACTCCAGGGTTTTTCTTTCGAAGTAATTGAAAGATTGGTTCACAAGTGACTGTGAGTTGTGAAATAAATCGAGCAATGTAATTTAAACGCCCCAAAAAACCTCGAACTTCTTTCTCGGTTTTAGGAGTTGACATAGCTTGTATGGCCTTCACTTTATCAGGGTCTACTTCTATGCCATTATTGCTTACCATAAATCCCAATAACTTCCCTGACTTCACCCTAAATGTACACTTTGCAAGGTTCAACTTTAATTGATATTTTCTCAGCCTTTCAAATAATTTCTTCAAAGCTGGGATATGGTTTTCCTCATCTTTAGACTTAGCAATCATATCATCCACATATACCTCAATTTCTTTGTGCATCATGTCATGAAATAGTGTCACCATTGCTCTTTGATAAGTTGCCCCAGCATTTTTCAATCCAAATGGCATAACTTTATAGCAATATGTTCCCCACGGGGTGACAAATGTTGTTTTCTTCTTGTCTTGCTCAGCCATTTTAATCAGATTATACCCAGAGAAACCATCCATAAAAGAGTAAGTAGAACTCTTAGCAGCGCTATCCACTAGCACATCTATATGGGGTAAAGGAAAATTATCTTTTGGGCTTGCCTTATTCAAGTCTCGGAAATCCACACATACCCTGATTTTGTTATCTTTCTTGGGTACTACTACGATATTGGACACCTATTGAGAATAATCGACTACTTCCAAGAATCCAGCATCCCACTATTTCATTATTTCTTCTTTCACTTTGATTAGTATATCTGGCCTTGTCCTCCTCAACTTTTGCTTAACTGGCTTACAACCTTCTATCAAAGGTAGTTTATGTACCACAATATCAGTATCCAGACCAGGCATATCAGCGTATGACCAGGCAAAAACATCAACATATTCTTGTAAAAGAGCAATCAATTTCCTTCTTTCATCAGCAGAGACTAACTTCCCTATCTTCAACTCTCTTTTATTATCCTCGGTGCCCACATTTATCAGTTCTAATTCTTCTTTTGCAGGCTTCCATGTGCGGTCAGATTGTTCGACTAACCTTGCGAACTCATGGATATCCTCTTCACCAAACTCTTCCTCATCCATGGCAATTATATTTTCATCAAAGTTAAGCCAATTATCCACAGTGCAATGAGTTTGTGAGGTGTATGACAATCCACTTTCAGATTTCCTGAAAGCGGAAAGTGTTTCGGTTATGAGTATATAGTTCTGGGAAATTAAATAAATGAACAGAGAAAGAGAAAAAGAAAAAAAAAACGATTGAAAGAAAGTATGCATGATCTCATTGAAATCTAAAGGATAGAAGGGCTCAACCACAAAACCTTATTGCCAATCTCTTAAGCCATGATGATTTGGCAAGGCACAATTATTCAAACAATACAAATAACCAAAACAATAAACAAGTAAACAAAAACATTACTTTTTGAAAATAATTAGAACTTCATGAATTTCCCAATTTGCTAAATCTTCTCCCTCGGCCAGTTTCCTCACGAATTCTGATGAGCCATCTTCCAAAACGCTAATAGTCAGCTGAGGCAACTGTTCATGAGTACTATCTTCTTCCTTTAACTCTTGTTCACTGTCTTTTTCAAGATAATTGATAGTAACACCATTGAATTCCTTTCTTAGTCCTCCCTCATAATCTTCAGTTTTTATCACATATGCGGGTCTTGGGAACGTTACATGGATTGGTGGGATTTCCATTCGATCTTCATCTGGTTCTCTCCTTTCAATCCGGGCCATTCTCTTTTCTCTTCTAATTTCAGCTGCTCTTTTGAAATCTGCTTTCCCAGGCTTAAACCCTAAGCCAAACCTTTGATCCGCGCACTTCATTTTTATCACATTAACCCTCTCAGGCATTCCGGTAGTGTGGTCATATTGAAATGGCAGTCCATGCTTTAAGAAGTATTTAGCAACCATTTTTGCTGCTTCAGAAATTTCTGGTTTCCTTCGTATCGTATTTTCTGGTACCCATTCAGCATTTACAACTTCAAATGCATGCAAATTTCCATCCTTACTTTCTTCAGTTTCTATGTAAGGGATCGATACATTTTTCATTGTTGATAAAGTTTCCTCAGCCCTCACAGTCACCAAATTTCCATTGATGATAAACTTGACCCGTTGATGTAAAGAAGATGCGACAGCTCGGGCTGCATGGATCCAAGGTCTCCCAAGTAACATGCTATATGATGGATGAATGTCCATTACTTGTAATGTGACTTGAAATGGTTGTGGGCCAATGATTAGTTCAACATCAATACTCCCAATGATTGGTCGAGGTGACCCATCATATGCCCTAGCAGTCATGGTACTTGGCTTCATGTGAGAGGCATCAACTGGCATTTTATCAAGTACATGTCTTGGTAATACATTGAGAGCAGAACCATTATCTATAAGCACCTTAGCTACCACACAATCCTTGCATTTTACTGTGATGTGCAATGGTTTATTATGACCGGTCCCTTCATGATCCAGCTCATCATCGGTAAAGTAGAGGTAGTTGGTGGCTTGAATCCTGCCCACCAAATGTTCTATGGAGTCTTGTGTGATATCCTGAGGAACATATGCTTCATTAAGAACCTTCTGAAGCACGTTCCTATGCAATTCTGAACTCAACATTAATGATAACAAAGAAATCCTAGCCGGTGTTTTCTTTAGCTGATCAACCACACTATATTCACTGTGCTTCATCAATTTCAGAAATTCATTAGCCTCTTCATCACTTACTGGCTTATTAACCTCATCTGTCTTTGTCAATTCCACCATATCCTTTCCTTTGGCTTTTCTGTGATTTTCCAACTCTTCAGGAGTAAAACATCTCCCACTTCGAATGAGTCCTCCTATTTCAGCATGGAAAACAGGGGCAGGATTTGTGTTGTGAAAGAAATAACCATAATTATATGGTTGGGCACTAAAACTCCCGCTAACAGTATTCATAAGCTTGGTTAGGATCATTTTTGGTGGACCCTTTTCGGTTGGTATATATCTACAAACTTCCACCTTCTTGTTACAACCAGTCATTGTTCCTACCAACTCATCTTCTTTGGGTTTTATTAATCTTAATACTCCCAATGTCATCATATTTTCTACCTCCAAATGGAACTCCTCACACGAGTTGATATCATGCCCAAGCTGCTGATGATATTTACAATATTCATTATCATTCCTTACAGCTTGTACTTTGATTGGTGTCTTTAAATAGTCTGTTTGCCTCAACATCCCATACAATTTATCCATAGTCACCCTTAAAGTTGATGTACTTCCCCTTCCTATCTCCAAATTATTAACTCCCCCGCTTCCAGAAGCATGATTTGGTAGAGGGTTAGAATTCACATTTGGAGATTCATCAAAAGAAATCCAACCAGCTTTGATAAGCTGAAGGATTTTTTGTTTGAATGCAATACATCCATCAATATTATGACCAACAGCACCAGCATGGTATTCACATTTTTGATCGGGTTTATACCAAAAGGGAAATGGTGGTTGTAAAGGTTCTAATGGAATAGGTGCTACCTGACCAATACTAAGCAATCTTTGGTGCATTTCAGTAAGAGACATGGGTAATGGTGGAAGTTGCACTTGATCTGTTGGAAAATTTCTTCTTGGACGGTAGGCATTATTGGTTTGGTTGTTTATTGGGTTGTTTTGGGTGTTTGTAGGTGAAGAGAATTTTATATTGGATATAGAGGGGGTAGGTGGAATACTTTTGAAGCTGTAATTATCTTAGTAGGTTTTCTTCCCTTTACTTTCCCTTTCAACATTGTGAATTTCTGTTTCTTTCCTCTTCCCAATAAAACCTCTTTTTTCAGTAGGATCCACGATCCTACCCGTCCGAACGGCTTGTTCGATCCTTTCAGCTATGACAACCAAATCGGAGAAATTTTGTGCTGCACTGCCTACCAAGTACTCAAAGTACGGGGCTTTGAAAGTATTGGAAAATAAGCCAGTCATCTCCCTTTCCGACAATGGAGGACTTACTTGTGCGGCTAATTCACGCCACTTTTGGGCATATTCTCTTACAGACTCCTTATTGCCTTTTTCCATGGCTTGTAGACTTGATCTATCTAGGGCAATATCCATGTTGAACTTATATTGTCTAACAAAAGCATCAACCAAGTCCTTCCATCCTTTAATCTTGGTATTATCCAAACGCATATACCAAGCAAGAGCAGCATCACTTAAACTGTCCTGAAAGAAATGGATCAATAATCTCTCATCATGGACTACTTCAGCCATCTTATTACAATATGCTTTAAGATGGGTGATTGGGCACTGAGTTCTGGTATATTTAACAAATTCTAGAACTCTGAATTTTCTAGGAATAACCACGTTAGGCACTAAACACATTTCAGCGGCCTTCACGGGATCATACAAACTATTCCCTTCTATTGCCTTCATTCTTTCTTCTAAGGCAGCTAGTTTCTCATGACCATTTTCCTCTATTATCTTGTTCCTTTGAGGTTCTTCTTCTGTCAACACAATATGAGGGATCCTCATTGGATGTGCTGATTGAGTAGGTGCGAAAGGAGCAGCATGCTGAGGTTCGAATGGCGAAATAAAGGAAGGTGGAGGCTGAGGTGTACATGTTTGTTGAGAAGATGTTCCTTCCCCAGCTCTAGGCCTCAAAGCTTGCTCGAGCAAGCTAGTGAGCCTTGCCACATCCTCTTTCAGGCTTTCCAACTCTCTTTGGTGTTGCATTTCTAACTGAGCTCTCTCTTCATTTTCCATTTTCTTTCGTGAACGAGTATTATGAATACGTTTCAGTTGGGGACCTATATTTCACCTGTTATATGCAAAATATGACAATCTATAAGCAAATGTATGAGATGCATGAATGTGGATGCAACATATTGGATATAGATTCACACTTTGTTGGTGACATATGGTCGTTATTCATTAGATATGTGGGTTGAACTTGAACTTGATATCATTGCTGTAATGCCGAGGAGAGATCTGCTCAGCTTTTTGACATTTGGGCTTTCAGCCATATACACATGTTTTTTTTTTAAATGTGGGTCTAACCCTTTCATTACTTATTTAAAAGCTTACAATGAAAAATTAATCTAATCTATTACAGGAGAAAAAACACTGCCTTTAGTAGCTATTGCTCTTAAAAAAAGATCGGTGTTATCCATGCTTCTTCGATATTTCATTATGTCTCCTCCTACTTGGCGAGCTTCCACTCGTAATAAATGGGCTTCTGCAGCTGCTCTATCAATTTGATCTTGTAGTTCTCTTATCCTCTCAGTATGAATCAAGTTGTTTCTAGACAAAAAGTTATTAGCATTGTCCAATGTTTGATTATGCTGCTTTATCATTTTCTGGTTTTCTATAAGCTGTGCGGTCTTCAATTTTTCTTTTTCCAGCTTAGATCTCAATGCTTCTACTTCAACCTTATGATCATTCAACGCTACTTTTTGCTCTTCATGTATTTTAGTCACATGTTTAGTGTTGACTATTTCAATCTCCGCTCTCCCCAATTGGTCTTTAAGCTTGACTACGTCCGCCCGACGCATTTTTAATGCAGTTTGCGTCTTGATAGCTGACTCTTCCCAATGCTTAGCTTTTGCCATATAATATGTCATGTCTTTATTGATCGTCTTCAATTCATCATTTGCCTTTATCCAGTCTTGACCCACAGAGTCCCTTTCTTCTTCAACTGTTTTTCTCACAGCTTTTTCTTTGGCTAACTGCTGCTCCAAGGACACTCTCTGCTCCTCATTGGCTTTAAGTTCGGCTTGTAACAATTTTACTTGTTCCCTTAATTCTTCTTCACTGTTCACTCTTTTCCTTCGAGTGCCCACAGATTCAGAAACTTCTGCCATATAAGAGACTCCTCCATTACGCCATTCGGGATACCTTTCACTAACCGTAGGATTCCTTACACCTATCTCCTTTTTAACTATCACCAAAGAACCCCAATCATGCTTAATGCTCTCTAGCATTTCATTATATGCTCCTTTGTAGACTCTAGTGAATTGAGCTAAACCAACTGTTCTTGGAATGCTTTGTATGCCCCCAAGTTGTCTTGCAACCAAAGCAGGTGCATAACTAATATACTCGGTCACCCCAATCAAAGGTACCTAAGGCTTTTTCCCACAGCTCATTAGGTATGCTACATTTTTCATCCATGGGGCTCTCCAATTAAAATTGCTTTGCGGAATTCCTTGCAATTTTACCCTCCAATCATCTTCAGAAAAGTTTTCCCATTCACTTGATACAAATAACTCGAGTGGCTTTTGATCAAACCACCAAAAATTTCGGAATACTGGTGTCTCGGATTCTATATGGCTTACCATCCAAATGAACAACAATGGAACACAACATCTCATAGAACCTTTCCCAATCTTTTTGCAATGATTGAGAGATAAAAAAGTTTCAGCCAAGATCGCAGCAGAAGGATTAATTTTGGTCTTCTCATACTCCATAAACAAATTAGCTGCCTCTAAACTGATAATTCCGGTCGTCGAAGGAAACAAAATCAACCCAAATATCCCCAAAGCCAATATTCGGTATACCTCCAAATTAGCATCAATATTAGACTTTTAGCAATCAAAAGCTCTTCTAGTCGTTTCCATCTCAAACCCCCAGAATTATTTTTTTCTCTATATAAGCTCATTTGACGGATTCCCAATAGCTTAGCGAGCTCCTCTATAGTATTCTCAATCTTTTGATGAAAGTAAACCTTATGGATATCCTCAGGAAATTCTGTCAAGACACCGTATTCTTCAATGGTAGGAACCATGTCGATATTCCCAAATGTAAAACATCGATATTCAGGATCCCAAAAATGAATTAAGGTTTCTATGGCTAATGGCAGTACTGGAACATTCAGAAGATGCAAAACTCTCCTATACATCCTAGTAAATTCTGCCTCATCGGCCAAGTATTTGGTGAATGGAAGCAAACGACTGGCCTCATTTATTATGCATCTCACATCTTTTAGTAGCGGTATCCCACTGTCATCCAGTCTAGGGCAGTCTCCCTCAGTCATATGTAATGATTCAGATTCAAGCCCATACTCAACCGTTGTGATTTCACGATTAACGACCATTATGTCACCTAAAAAACAATCCTGTAATAAAGATGCTATATGTTAAGCTTGCCTTAGTGAGATTTATATAGGGAACAACTTAAAGGGTAGGTTCTAGTCATTAAATGCTCAAGGTAGGCTACTATCTAGTCTTTGAAAGGTCTTTCGCATGCTCAGTGATCTTCCTTGAAAGGTTGATATGAGGCTTACAAGTAGCGTGAAGATAGAGGCCCTGAATAATATCAGTTTAGGCATACCAACCACTATCGAGTAAACAATCAAGCGAAAGTTTGATGGTTTCACGAGTCTTACCCAGGCTAAAGCCATTGGGGTACCGCTACTCTCCCACTTAACATAAAGTTTATACAACAGATATTTATTATGAAATGCGTGGTGTGTGAAGGCATCAATGCATATCCAATATATATGATGGCATGAATAAATATGGATGCTAAAGCTGTAAAAATAAATAAACCAAATAGAATAAAATAAAAACCAAAACACACAACAAATATTGGTAGCAATTTTTAACAAATAAAGCAAAGCTTAGTCTTAGTGTCCCCAGTGGAGTCGCCATTCTGTCGCACCTGACATCGCGGCGACCTTAAAAATTATTTAAATGTTTGAATATATGGAATGGAAAGAATGGATTTCTGGCATCCTATTCTTTGATGGTGAATGATCTTTGTTTAAGGAGTCACCACCTAGTATTATGGTTACTAGGAACCCTAACTGGTCAACAGAGATTCTATGGTTCGAGACTGATTACGCAAAAGGGAAGATATTATCACCCCTTTTAGCGTCCTGCCTAAGGCAGGCTGCATTGCTGACTTTATCAATAATTGCTAATGTTTTGTTGGTTTATGCTATGGTGGTTTTGCGTGTAATATTCCTGACTCTGGCGTCAGTGAATATTTAACTACAGATATTTCCAACTCTGGTGTTGGTAAATATCACGTAGCTATAAAAAAAAAAAATTAAATCAGTTATTATTATTTTTTATTCCTGACTCTGGCGTCAATGAATAAACAAATCAAATAAATTTATTTTTACGCATCACACAAAAAATAAAATAAATTTAAATCATATATTTTTTTTTATTCCTGACTCTGGCGTCAGTGAATAAACAAATCAAATAAATTTATTTTTACACATCACACAAAAAATAAAATAAATTTAAATCAGTTATTTTTTTATTCCTAACTCTGACGTCAGTGAATAAACAAATCAAATAAATTTATTTTTACACATCACACAAAAAATAAAATAAATTTAAATCAGTTATTTTTTTATTCCTAACTCTGACGTCAGTGAATAAACAAATCAAATAAATTTATTTTTTTGCGCATCATACACAAAAATAAAATCAATATTTTTTATTCCCGACTCTGGCGTCAGTAAACAAATAAATAAAAATAAATTTATTTTTTATTCATGCACATATTTTTTATTTTTTTATTTTTTACTTTTAATATTTTTATTTTTCTACTTCTTTTTTTTTGGGCTGGGCTGGACCCCTATTTTCTGGGCTGAATCCAGCCCAGCCCACATGGGCTGGATTAGACCCAGCCCATCCAGATGGGCTGGGCTAAGCCCAACCCGGCCTGGCCACTGGCCCACACCAGTGGTCTGGCGAAGCCTAGCAACACGCGTGCTCTAACGCACGCGTGTTGCTACACTGTGCAAGTGAATTAACATTCACTTGCACAGTGTAAATGCCAAATAAAGAACGCGGAAGAAGACCCACCTGAGTTGCTGGGATGATGCTGTCTTGGGTCGAAGGTCAATGAAGGCGCTCCTCTCTGCTTCTGGTTGCCTCGTTCGGAGATGAAGGAACGAAGATGATGATGATACCGGTTCCCCACGAGTGGTTTCGATTCTGAGTTCTTCCTCTTTTCTGCTATCTTTCAGTTTTATTGCCTCTTGTTGCTGCCTCCGGTAATGCTCTGTTTTCTTTGTTCCTACTCTGTTTTTTTTTTCGTTTCCAGGTTTGAAGACGATTTCGAGGATAATTCTCCTCACCGTGTGCTCTCCTCTTGTTCTTTCTTTTTCTATGTATTTGAATATTTCTACTCTGTGGGTTTCTCTGTTTTCCTCTCTGTTCTTGGGTGATTTTCTCCGTTCTTGTTCTGCCAATTTTTTTTTTTTGGTGTGTTTTTCGGCTCCTCCTTTTATAGAGACTTCGAATTGCCTCTAAACAGTCCTGCCTTCGCAGGACTGTCATCTTCCCTGGACGAGATTACAGGCGAGAGGCGTGGTCCACGATTGGATCGAACTCGTTGCAGATTTTCAGCCGATTGAACCGGGTTGGAGAAGACGAGCACGACTGTTCCACTAGCAACGACGGCGTTTTGGCTGTTCCACTAGCAAACAGAAGTTTTCAATTTGATCCCTGTGCTTTGGAAATTCGGCAATCGGACCCCTATTCACTAATAATCAATTTCTAATTGTATCCTTGGATTAATTCCATTGAATCCTTGATTTATAGTGCCATTTACACAACAGTCCTGGGTTTTTTGACTATTCAATTTGATCCTTGGACTTTAATTTTCTAGCATTTTTTTTAAATGAGCTCCAAACTTTGGTATTTCTTCAATTACACCCCTGATTCCTTTAATTAATTAAATTAAAGTTTAATTAAGTTCTCAAACTCATTAATTCCTCAATTTCTTTTAATTTGATTAATTAACTTAATCCCAAACTCAATTAATTCTCAAAATTTATTAATTTTCCAATTAAACTCTTGATTTAATTAATTAAACTAGTTAAGAGTTTAATTAAATATTTAAACTTTCCAATCATGTTGCCATTAACCCAAATTTTAATTCATTCTTCATTTATTTTTTTTTAATCATTTTTCATCAATTTTTTAGTAAATAAAAAAAAATAAAAAATTAGGTTATGACAATATCGAGAATCCAAAGAATGGTAATGTTTTCAAGGTAAATGGACATCGTTTGAAAGCTTACTTTGACAACTTTTCAATTGAAAATGACTTTATTGAATTGGGTGATCCTTTATATAAAGATTGATATTTGTTTTCTTCTCTCTCACATTAATTTTGTGTTTTCTTTTGGTGTGACCTTTGTTTTGCTAGTTTTTTTTCCCACTTCGATCAAATGGCAAATAACGGTACTCCGTGACTTTAGTCGGTTCTTTCAATTTCCCATAATAACTGATATCTGTGTATATATTTGTTCAATTCTTTGCTCTTTCTCCCTTCGTTACATCTCTTCTCATTTGAAAATGGACACCACTCTTGAAAAATTAAAAAAGTATTTTCCTGCTCTGCCTCAAAATGCGATTACAAAAATTTATCGTACTAGATGTGCAAGATTGAGATTGTTAATGGACCATGGAATTCCTGAAGATATTCGCTGGCTAATTGAAGCAAAGGTCTGATTATCAGGTGAGTCCTCAAATTCTTTCATTTCATACATACTTGAAACAGGTAAAAGCACTTTTGCAAAGAAATGTCGTGCAAAACGACTGCAAGTCTGTCACAGATGTGCCAGATGGACTTGTAATACAAAATGTCATTCTTTAAGAATGGTATCTGTAAATCGTGAAGATAAAATGCAGTTCATTAAGGATGGCCTGAGTAAGGAGTCTTTAGATAATCTTCTATTGACTCTTGAGACGCACCCTAGTGGAGATGTGCATCGTGTAATTTATGATTTATGGCCACAATTCCATAAAGAACATGCTCGACATAGTCTTGGGAATCTGACTAAAAAAGACCTTGTTTGCCAGTTTTTAAGAAAACTGGATGGGAAGCCTATCCCCGACCCATAGAGGGCGTTTAAGCCGTTCTTGGACGTAAAACCAAGGGAAGATGTGAGCCACAATCACAACTACTTGTACATACACATTTTTTTAAATTATATATATATATATAATAATAATAATAATAATAATAATAATAATAAAAGAGAGAGAGAGAGACTCTAGCTGGCCTACATATAGGTGATATGATTGCATTTTCACTTTCTCATCTATAAATTCTTCTCTTCATTCCCTTCATTTCTACCCAGCCCACACATTTCACAGATATCAAAGTGTGTAGAAATGGCAAGTTCCTCAAGTCATCAAATACGAAATATTTGTGTTTTTGGTGGATCTAGTCCTGGGAAAGAAAAAGAGTTTTTAGAATCAGCAAATCATCTTGGTCAGGTATTAGCTACAAGAAAGATTCATTTGGTGTATGGAGGAGGCAGCCTTAGGTTAATGGGGGGTGTCAATAGCTGTATTTTTAAGAGGTAGTCATGTTTTGGAGGTTGTCCTCAAAGCTTTAGCACATGGTGATATTATTGGAACAATAATTGGAGAGGAACTCCAGGTCTCCACAATGTCTGATCGAATGAATGCAATGTTTAAACATGTTGATGCTTTCATTGCCTTGCCAGGTGGTCTGGGCACATTGAAAGAGATCTTTCATATTTCCTCTTGGGCCCAACTTCACATTCACCATAAACCCATAGGTTTGTTAAATTTTAATGGTTATTATGATAAGTTGTTGTCTTTTCTTGATCATGTTGTGGAACAGGAATTTCTAACGTCTTCAGCACGACAAATCATAATCTCTACTGCCACTGTTGAACAATTAATTGACCAACTACAATCTTTCACTCCTATAATTGATCCCTCTATGAGTTGTATAAATTGGTCAACTAAGGACAGCCGTAAAAAGCTTAGATTGGATTTGAGCCTTCGTATGTGAAACCTTGTGTTTTATTATTTTGTTTTGTTATTTCTCATATTTGTTTAAGTGTGTTTCAGGTTTGTCAGTGTTCGTTATTTCAGATGATATCTTCTACCCTTTATCTTTCTACCTTATAACATTGAGGACAATGTTTTGTTTTGGTTGGGGGGAAGGGGTAGTAGTTGATATTTCTAAAAAAAAAATTCCAAAAAAAAAAACTTTACTAGTTGTGCTTTCTATTTGCAAAACCATTGTTACTATGATGGCAGAGTCAAGGAGTTCTTTTGTTAAAATGACTCTAGAGATGCATCCTACTAAATATTCTTAACAAGGTCTATTATAATATTTCTTGAAATATTCAGATTTACAAACTCTCGCATTATTATTTATTACTTCTGCTCATATACTCATTAAAACAAGTATTTTTAAACCTTCATCTTCACACACACACTTTAACATATGATTATGGGTTGCATATTGGATTATTACATTATTTATGTTCTTTTGTTAAAGGTAACAACTAAAGAAAAGGGATAGTATATAAGTTTTACTTTAAAAAAAAACAAAAAAAATAATGATTATAAATGTAATTAAAAAAATATAGATATGTTTGGTTTCGTAGCCTCCCGAACCTGAGTTATTAAGCCCGAAGGGGTGTTTTAACACCTAATACCCTAAAGTCAACTGACTTGGGAGCTATAGGCCCAACGCTTGTTACATGGGTTGAGGAGAAAAGCTTAAGGGAATCAAACATTACACTATCTACGTATCAGTTTCTGCAACCCGAGTTATTAAGCTCGAAGGGGTGTCTCAACACCTAATACCCTAAGACCAACTAGTCTGGGAGTCATTAGCCAAAAGCTCATTATATGGGTTACAGATGCATTGTGTTTTAAGTTAAATGTATATAAAATAATAATAATAATAATCCCAACCCAAGGACGTTAACCTGAAACATTAGAACATAATATTGTTTTCTTCTAATAAAAGCCCCATTATCTATGTTTTCTTACATTGAGCACATAAAAAAAAGGTTTATTAATATCTTGTTTCAACAATATGAAGCAGATATATATAAATTTAATGAGAGTTTGTTTACTTGGATAGAGTAATAAAAGTTAAATGATGAATACCTTGCTTTGGGGAACTTGCAAATTGTTTTTCTATTTTAACGTTTTGATTACTAGGGACTAGTAATAAGCTGGTTGGGGGGTGTTATTAGTACTTAAAAGTGCATTTTTATCAAGGCTTTATATCATCATTTTGCACTTGAAGTATCAATAACTCCTTAACTAGAACATGTTTTGTAATAACAAGTCTGATAATATAAGATACCTTTAATTTATGATAAATGCTCATTTTAATTGCAGGTATTCTCACAATTTAAAGGATTGATTGTTGTGATTAACTATTGAAAGTGAAAGGAGAAAGAAAAGGCTAAGCTTACGAAGGAGATGCCGATTCACTTCAAATTCGAACATTGTTCAATCATCGGATCATATCTAGAGCTATAGATCTTGGATTTCATATTAATTTATATGGCTGGAAAGATAAAAAAAATAGGCCTACAACTTTTGTGGGTATGGAAAGACCCAAATTTTCCATTTTCAAATTCAAAGTTTGACCACAAAAGAGAAGTCTGAATCTGTCTTGCAATCCAGCCCAAACACTACTCAAAGTTTTATCTATAACTGGAGTTCTAGAAGTCCAAATGATCTAAAATTTGGTGGGCGGAAGGAAAAGACAATTTCCAACAACTTTCATGAAGAGAACCAGCTCAAATTCAGATGGTAGAAATAAGATTTCATCCACACAAGAGCATGAGTGCTATCCATCATGTCCACCAGTAGCACTACTCAGTATTTTAGACATATCTCGAGCTGTAGTGATCTAAATGATCTGAAATTTGGTGAGTGAAAGGAAAAAATAATTTCCAACAACTTTCATGAAAAACACTTTGCCAAATTCTGATTGCATCAATATCAATTTAGTCATCCAAAGTGCTTGAGTGATGTTGTCCACCAAGTCCACTAATCAATAGTTGGCCACTACATCAATTATCAATTACCACATGAATAGTTCTGAATTTTAGCCTATAAAAGGAGCCATTTGCCATTCATTTGGGCATCTTGTTTTCTATATCAAGATCATGTTCTTACTCTTTCTCTTTATATTGTTGTAATGCTTAAGATTTGCTTTCATTAATCTTTTGTTCATTCTTTTCATTTCCTTTACTATACTTAGTTAACTTACATCATGTTTATGTTCTTATATTGTTTCTTTAAGTTTTTCTCCTTCATAATGTCTAACTAAGTTAATTATATCAAGGTGAAAAGGTTTCACTAATGGTGTTAGGATAAGTAAATATAAACTCAATATGGACTGCAATGCTTATATCCTAAACAATTTGCTATTAACATGTCTTATCATTTTTATCTTATTAATTCTTAATACCTTACTTGTTAAATGGTTAATCTAGATTTGTGTTGTGTAACAATTGGTACATCAAATACTTGATCCTTCGTAGTATTTGGCCGACATCGTTATTATGAGAGGAACTTGATTTGTTGTCAACATAAGTTAACATCATCAATACTTGATAAAATTTATAAGTATGGTGTTATGTAAATAAGATGATTAATATGATCATGTTGATAATTAATAAAGAGTTTATACCTTATTTATCTCTAATACTATTAGTGTATCCTCTAACCTTGACATTTGTTTTTATCATTGTATAATCTTCACATTAATTTTACATCTCAAAATCCTCTTTAACTGATCTTCACCACCACCATCATCATTGTTGTTGTTGTTGTTGTTGTTGTTTTTATTTATTATTGTTGTTGTTGTTGTTATTGTTTTTATTTATAATTTATATAGTTAACCTCTCTATGGTTCGACCCCGGTCTTGCCAAGTTATTTATTACTTTGACACTTCTGCACTTGGGATAAGACATCAACTCTTTGATCGTGTCACAAACCACCATGACCATAAAGTTCATAAGAAGTCTCCAATGACCAGGAAGTCAAATGCTTGATGCTTTCAAAAGACCGCTTCTTAGCAAATGAACCAATGACAGGTTCATATACGCAAAGGCTTGTTTGACGATACTTCTCATCAATTACTAAGAATCTTTTAGTGGAAGAAGAAGAATTCTTGAAAAGCACCATCTAAAAAGAAAAGGGAGACATAAAAATATGTGAATTAGATGCATATTTGAAAGAAGAGATGGGGAACAAGATTATAAATCCCATGATATTTATATGTCCTAAAAAAAAAGTAATGATAAAATAGGATGAGAATAAGAACTTATCTTGATCAAGAACGAAAGAAAAGTGATGCTCCAATGTTAAAAAAAAAGAAAAGGACTTGTCAAAATTGATGACGCGTTAAAAAAAAAAATGCAACCGTGACCCTTAAGAAACAACTCACGTTAATTAATGGAAACAGGCGGGCACACCAACAACTCAATCAGGCTTAGTCAAGTCTATTTCAATAACAAGTTTGTGCCATCGATCATGCAGTTGCAGAAGCAGAAAAGGTTGCTCTTGGTTAACACACACATGTCAACAATATGTTTTTCCTCAACAAGAAAACTGCTGCAACTCCTCCAAATATATTTGTTTTTGAAATAGAAGCAAAATCTGAATGCAGCAAACCCCAACAAGAAAGCTGCTACAACTCCTCCAAATATATTTTTGGCGTCTATATTTTCTCTTCCAGTACAAGCTCTCTCTTTGGATGTGCTATCAAGAAACTTTGCAGTGCTCCAAGGCTTTGAAAGGAGTTCTTTCATCTAGATAACAACAGTCGTGAAACAACTTTTCCATAGCTTGCTAAAGTGAAGTTAAAAAAAAAATTTGTTGTTGTTGTTGCGGGATCCAGAGCTCACCGTTACTGTCAACACAAAGAAAATGGTTGCCTTCTAGTCGTTGAGCAGTCACCATCTCTGCATCTCCATATAATTCGACCATGACAGAGAAAATAACACATGGCCACATGCAGTTTCACTACGTCACTATATAATTCAACGAATAGAGGACTGCGGATTGTCAAGTTTTCCATGTCACATCTTAAGACTATGCAAATTGCTGGAAATATTTCGCTGAGCAGTCGCTCCCCTTTTGCTTTATTCTAGGCCATGCATAATTTCACTTTTCTCCATGCGGTCAAAAATAGGAAGACAATGCAAGTGCATTTATAAAAGAGAGGAGTTTAAATTACTATCATCACAAGCTTTGGTTAGAAGTTTAAAGCTTATTGCACCTGCACAAACTCAGAATTGTGTCCTGCATACATTTAAAAACAAAAAAAGAGACTTGCAGTTGTAAAACAAACACTGAAGAGCTATGCATACCTGCTAGGACCGTCGGGCTATGCATACCTGCTAGGACCGTCGGTGATCTGGAGCTTCTAGGTGGATGCTACACAGTTAATGAAGGAACAGAAGTACTGCTAAGTTGGTGACAAAAAAAAAAAGACAATGTAGTGGCCTTTTATAGCCACAATATAGACCGTTGCCTGATTACAAAAGAAGAAGAAAAAAACTCGTATTCTGTGATAGAAAGGTCGGCTATGCAAGTTGCTTTTCCTCTTCTGAAACAAGAGCAATAATTCCTGTTCAGTTCTGCAAATTTTTCCTATTCAAGTCATAGTGAAAAAGGCCATATTTCCTGTTCGGTTCTGCACTCTTCATTTACCCTCCCTCGACAGTTCATTCAAGAAACAAAGGATGCGACATGCTACCCAAGACAAAGTTTTCCTATGCTGTTGAAAAGGCAAACTATCTTTCCAAACTTGAAAAGTATCTGATTAGTCTTTGCTCTCAATCGGTTAAGAATACAAGGAATTATAAAGTAAAGAGCATTTAAACAGGAATGAATCAAAGAGTGCACGCCTATCAAGATAAGAAAGAGAATATGAATCAAAATCTTTAATATGTGATAATTCATTAACTACTACTCGGAATCACAAACGGATTGCGTCATTGGATTCAAAACAAGATGTTATAGTAACCACTTTTCTAATAAAAAAAATTCTACACGTTAGTCAAAGTATTGGTTGCTATTCGGTATAAAGATAAATTTTGTTTGTTCCTTAAATACACAACTGTTTCAAATGAGGTAGTGAACTTAGATATTTTATTATTTGATTTGATAAATTTTAATTGTTCATAAATTTTTAATTTTGATTATCATATTTTATTTCACAATAAAATTTATTTATTTATTATGAAAATGTATTATAATCAAATCAAATTCTAGTCGAAAATATAAAATCCTCTCAACTATATTTTTTGAGACACACCCACTTGTTTCAAAAGTAAGTGAACTTGTCTCGAGGGGACATCTATAGAAATATAAATTTTCTACCAATCAAATTTCATCAAGTTTTATTTTATTCTTTAAAAAAAGGACAAAATAAAATTGAAATAAATGACAAGGAAAATAAATGAGTCTTTCTATATTTCTTAACCAATGAAAAGTTAACACTTCGGATGAGATATTCAAGTATCTAGTTATAAATACAAGATCCCATCAGACATCTTGTCATAAATGCAAGATCTTGTCAATAAATATCAACCAATAAAATTATGTCACGTGGTATTGGAAAAGAACCTGAAAGCCCCTACAGATCTCTATAAATAGAAGGTCTCAACCTAAAGGAAGAGGATTCCGTGAGATACAAATTTTTTTTAATACAAGCTCTTCAAGCAAGGAAGCTCTCTCTCTCTCTCTCTCTCTCTCTCTCCCCACACAAGAAAGCTCTCTCTCTCTCTCTCTCTCTCTCTCTCTCTCTCAAAGAGTTCTCAAGCCTCCTTCATCCACGCTTGAAGTTTATAAATAATGAATCTATGTTGGATCAAGCCAGAATGTCTCATAAGAATTCTTCAACAACACTTTGAACACAAATGAAGGTACTCTTCAAAGCATCAAATCACAACATCTCACTTTGCAATACACGTCCAAATTCGTGTTTTTGCAAAGCACAAATCTTGACTTGATTACTTAAATAAATCAAGTCGTCATACATCAAATCCAAGAGAAGAATCAGAGGATTATCTTGTTCTTTTGAAAGAATATATTACATAGAGATTGTACTCATTTGTATATTTAATAAAATCATATATTTATATATATGTGCTTGTTTAATTTCATGTGATCAAAATTGTGTCTACAGACACATTTCAAGAATTATATCAACAAAATCAGTGAATTCCGGTTCCCAACTCTGGTTTCCTAGGGAGACTTGAAGAATGGTGTTCTCGTCTGGAGTCAATAACTGAATGAGGCAGGTTTGATAATTCTCAAAGGGACCGATATTGCCTTCTTCTGCAGCTTTGAACAAGACAGGATCCATGAAGGTCATACTATTCATTTTCTCATAAGAATCCATTTTGTAGTTTAGAGAAACTAACTAAACGAAAGGTAAACAAATGAAGGGCAGGAGAAACCGCTGTGACTCAAAGGGTCCACTCAACTGATCACCGGCTGCTGATTTCTTTGGTTTTTTAAAAAAGAGAAAGGTAGATCACACAATTACAAAAGGGCATAAAAGAGTTTTTTCGCAAAGCTTTGGACCGATATATGAATCATTGGGACTTTTTTAAATCATTGCCACTCTATTGTTACAAAAGGGGAAACTTTTGATATATATAATAAACACTTGTATATTATAGAATCTTTGTTAATAGTTTAAATTTTTTATGATTATAATATTAGATGATATTTTTTTAAATTAGACTTTTTTTTCTTTAAAAACAACATTTCAATTATCTATTCTTTTCGTAATTAAACTTTTAAAGGTAGCCGATGTTGGTTGCCATAAAAAAACAGTTTTTTTGTTCACACTACAAAGAAGGATATGTCTCGCTAAATTAACTAATAATTAAAAATAAAAAACCTTAGGCCACATGCCACGAAGCACCGAACCAAAAATAAAATACAAATAATCAATATGAATATATGACAATTAGCTCTTTTGTTTAATGAAGGCGAGAGGCCTTTTTCCTTAATTGAAGCATCATTTAATTTGTAGTTGATTTCTTGTGCTTTGTCAGGTGTGAGTTCCGGTCGCCATTAGACTCTAAGCTCTAAAGCAAAATTATTGCGACCCCTTGTGGATGACATTGGTTGATTTATGGCCCATCTGCAGTGGCACAAAAGCAATGTATTATAGAGGGGATTAATTAATATATCGGCTGAGTAGCCGAGAGAGACATTAACACACACGTACAGCAGCAATATTTCCTGAATGGAAGAGGGCGGCAAGCACACTTTGCCGACAACAATCCTTTACATGATTATGGCAGGTACGACATTTTTTCCACTCATGATCACCTGTAATTGCACTCGATGAGTTAGTAACAGTTCATATTTACACTACAAATTCTTGTTAGCAAAAATTGCTAGGATTTATAAATGTTTTTGTTTGGAAATGGGCATTTTATATTTCTCTATTTTTCTAAAAACACTGAAGAGGACTAAAAGCTGTTTCCAAGTTCTCAACTATAAGAGAAAATTTTGACTAAAAATGTAAGTGTTATTGATCGAGACAGTTTGATTGGATTAAAACGAAATATGTGAAAGTAAACACGACTAAACTTAAATTAAATAAACTATAAAAAAATGTTTTATGGATAATAGTAAATACTAATATAAATCAAATCAAAATCTAAATTAAACATAATGATAAAATAACTTAAAATCACTTATAAATTTTTAAAAAAAAATATAGTTATGGTTTTAAACGAGAAATGGAATAAAAAGGGAGGGAAATATACCTAAACAAAGATTTTTTCCCCTTCAAAATTTCTTTATCCCCTTACCTTTCCACTACGAAATGAGGGTTAAATGTTAACCTCCTTAAAATGATTCTCTCTTTCTAAATTTGTACCAAACATGAGGGATGAAAATTGAAAGTAGGGAAGTATTTCACCTCTCTTACCCTTATACCAAAATTAAGCTAAAAACCAAGGTTCTTGTTTGGTTCACTTTTTTTTTAATTTTAATGTAAAACTAAACGATAACTTTTATTTTCTATTTTAAAAAATAGAAACACAAAATACAAAAAAAATCAATCAAGTAAAGGCATCCTAGAAGTCAAAACCTCAAGAACAACGACACTAACAGGAAGAGCAATAATTAAAGAGCCTATTTGCTGACTACGTACTAGAGATGATCACATAAAAAAATTTAGAAAAAAGAAGATGTATACTTTTTGTAGTACTTTGTATAAGTCTATGTATAACTCCTTTTTTTTAACATACATCAAAACAAGAGTTATTAAAATTCTAGCTTTGATTTATTTTTTATTTTTTTGTTCAGAGATAATGATGTATAAATTGAAGTCGCTGTAAATGAAGAGGGAATAACTTCAGATATTTCACCAACTCAGATTTTATACATGGGATCGTACCATTTGCTGCATCACCAGGCAATTGGGATGGCCGACTGGTAGATGTTGTAGACAACGTTGCTGATGAAGAAGTTTTCGCTGTTGCTGCTGGTAGCGGCCGCGTCAGTGATGATGGCTTTGTCGTTTCAACAAGTGGAGGCATGGTACCAAAACAAATTAGAAAACCCGCAGCACTACTCGAAGATGCTGAAGTGTCTGAAATATTAGTTGACGTTTTCGTTCCATTGTTTTTAGAAGGTTGAGTTTGTGAAGATGAGAATATGTCTGGGGTTACAGATGGTTGAATTTGTGATGTTGGTGACAGTGGCAGCAGCTGTTGTGAAGGTTGAGATGGCGGCTGTTTTGAAGGCTGAGATGCATTGTTGTTCATCGACTCTTTGTTATTACGCGTATCCCGGCGGAAGGTTGAGAATATGTCTGGTTTTTCTCCCTGATGATCAGGGGTTACAGATGGTTGAATTTGTGATGTTGGTGGG